TTATTCCAAACGTTATCTATTAATTTCATTTTAGCTGGTTTTAAATGAAGGGCAGCTGGGCAACCAGTCCCTTTAGAAAAAAAACCCAAACCCAAATTAAACAACACCCAAACCCAGCCAGGAAAGACAAAGTGTTATAGCTCAGCCCACAATCTTCACCTAATTCTGAATCAACAGAAAATCACCATTTTTCAAGACAAAAAATTCAAAAAATCTTCGGCAAACATCAAAGATCTACAGGCAGGAACAAGATCTGGTCACTCAAAGACATCCAGCTCCTGTGCAAGCAAGGGCAGGATCAGTGCCTGTATCTTCCATCATAAAGCATCAGGACATTTCTTTATTACAGCCCAAGACATTTAATTTACAGTTCCTTTCAGCCTCTTGGACTGCACTGCGATAGTGGAAGCATTATCTAAATGCAATTTTGATACAAACAACATCTAGTTTAGATTTATGCTGAGCTACATTGAAGGCAATCATGCCTTTTTTTTTTTCCCCCCCCCCTCCTGTAAGACTTTGGAAAAATTGCTTAGTTATGATGCAGAAAATGAAGTGCCCTAAAACATTTATTTCAATTACTTTTCTCCTTTACTTGCAGCTTGCCAGTTCCCTGGTTCCTTTTTTCTGTCTTCAATGGCCTCAGCCCCGTGGCAGTGAGCAGCAATGGTTTGTTTTGTGCAATTGTTCTCCTTTTCCTCATGCTCCTGTTTGTGATTATCTCCATCGCTGTCTGTAAATGGAAAATGAACAAAATACTGGGGCTCACCATGTTTGCTCTTTACTTTGTGTTTCTGATCATCAGTGTGATGTTAGAGGACAAGATAATATCCTGCCCAGTATCTGTATGACGTGTGGCCACCTCAAGATGTGTGTGTGAGGATACAGCAACATCACAAGGGGTTTAAGGTTGCAAATGTTCCACTGGAAAAAAAAAAAAAGGAAGCAGAACTGTAACAAACTTACTGAGAATAAAATATCTTTAACATTCAAAAAAATAAATAAATCTCAAGTGGTATGTCAGCCTCTGCTGTTTTTCTTTAGGGTCAGAACAGATACAATACCAAATAACACCTTGATGCCCCTGTGGCCAAGGCTGGTGTGATGTGGGTGCATCGAGGTTTCAGTAGAGCTGATCCCCTCCAGTCAATGGAGTTCATTTCCAGCACAGAACGTTTTCCCATGATAGAAATTTTTCAGGAACACACTCTAAATTACTCAGTGGACTGCTCAAACTGCCTGAAACCAGTGAACTTCCCTTCAGTGGGAAGAGAAGCAGCCCCATCTGGCCGGGCCTCTCCACAACTGCTCTGCTGGGAGGGGCCGTGTGGCCTCACACGCTGCATCTCCGCAGGGAATTCTCTCCAGCTGCACTAAACTCCTTCCAAATCTGCACCTGATCTTCAAATACACGCCCTAAAATTTATGTTAAGTGCACAAATGCGCTATCACCAGGATTCACCTCTTACCCCTCCAGTGTAAATGGATCTGGGGTTACAACACGTCACCACTGATCAAAACTAAAGCCAGGGATCAAACACTGCAACAAGAAGTTGAACTGCTGGGGGTTTGTTTTCATCCTGACACTAATCCCTGCTATTTACAGACTATTGTATCCAGCACTAATTCCTGTTGTTTGCACTGTTTTCCACACAGACATGATGAGAGAATGCCACTGCCCTCAACACACCTGGGAGGGGTATTGTTATCACCTCACAGAAGCAAACAACGCAGTTAAAGAGTTGCAGACATCTCTAATCCAGCCAATAAAATGTTAATGAAAATAACCAGAAAGATTTTAAGCTTTTTATTGACTCACTGTAAAACTTTTTTTTTTTTTTTTTTGGATGAAACAGAAAAAAAAAAAACACCTTAACATCGTGAACACTGACTTTGCATATTTTAAAGGAACTACAAACCAAAGCAAACATCCAACATACTGGTTTTTGGTAAATAAAATTTAAACATTACATATTTACAAATCTACAACCATTCATTTAAAAAGTGCTGCTTGCAGACTAACAAAGTACCATTTTTAAATCCCAGTGAGATAATATCCAGAAATACCCCTCTCTGTTATTACTGTTTGCATCTTCCATTTGTTACACAAAGATTTTTGCAGTCAGGAATTTTCTCTTTCTTGGGGTACAAATCATTTAAATTTGCCAGTGGAAGTCGAATTCATCAGGCTGTAACTGTACCAACAGCAAACCCTCTCAAATGGGACACAGCAGAGTCAGAGAAACAGCACAATTTCTATTCACATTTCAGTATTTCATCTCCCATAATTATTCCAGTGGAACCATAAGTAAAGCAAAATATATATTGCACTGCAAATGTAAAACTTTTGTTTAAGGTTTTGGACATAAGCATTATTTAGTACACAAAAGGAGAAAATTCAGTTCATACAAAATTTTAAATTGAAAATATGTCTCAAATATTTTATTTATCCATCTTTGCAGTATTGGAAAATATAGTCAAATTGCTTTTCTAATAAAGGACAGTGAGATTTGAAAACTGTTTCAACACTGAATTGCATGATTCTTACAAATTAATCCACCTCAGGACCCACGTTTGGAACGTTATGACTCGAATGAGGGAAATTTCCCATTTAATAGTATATTGTTATTCCAACTCTATTTTTATATATTTCTGCAGTGGACTGACTTGCAACAGACCTGATAAAACAATTCCTTAAGTACAATGATGTCACCTGACGAGCTACTACGTGGATCTGGTGATCCAAAAGCACGGCCCAGTGACCATCAGCAATGCCTCGGGACGCGGGAATATCCAAGGACTGCTGGGAGCCTGCACGGCCAAACCTGTTCCTGGGGCAGTACCTACTGCCTGCCAACACTGCAGGGCTGTGCACGCTGCAGTGACGTGGCAGAAGCAGCTGGGAGCACTTGCAAGGAAGCTGGGGCTGGGGTGGGTCAGCTGCACCCACACGCGGTGCCGCGGGCCAGGCACGGACCGGGCTCGGCGCTTCCGCCACGGCGGGGGAAGCTCGGTCATAGCTCGGCCCCGTGAGCACCCACGGCAGCTCTGGAAAAAGCACCTGCTCTCTCTCTTTCATGGCCTGAAGGTCCTATCACACAGTGGCTGCCCCGAGGGTCAATGGCATGGGAAGCAGAGCTGTGGGGAGCTGGGAACGCGACCTCACACACCGGGATGAGCTTCAACACACACAGCGACTACTGCGGGGTTCTCCGTGGATATGCAGCATTCCCACTGTACAGAGCAGAGCAGCCACGCACATTAAGGGCTACTCAGGGGGAATGTGGCCAGGAAGAGCCTGTTATCTCACAACAGTTCAGAAGAACAAGGGGGGGATGTTCACCACGTACCTGGGGGAGGAAAGGAGCTCCGTTTCACACCGTACACGCGTGACAGCACAAAGAGCATCACAAATGCTTCAAATAAATTAAATGTGAACAATGGTCTAAGGGCAGCATTGCCAGCTCCACTCCTCAGGGCAGGGGATACTTTCAAAAAGGTCAGCTACACAATTAGCAGCACGTTAGAGAAGAGGCATTACCCGGTGGAAGTTGTTTCCTGCATCTTGCAGTTATCGACAGCACCTTCCTGCAGCTCGGCGTGTTTTAAACCCTTTCTCCTCAGGGCAGCATCTTCTTACGACTTTACAGAGGTCTGGGAGGAGGTTACAGAGCTTCATAGCAGCATTAACTTCTCATGTAAAGCCTCTAAGGCTCACTCTATTTCCTTTAATAAAGTAAATGTGAGCTTTAAAGTTTAGCACTTTCTGCCTAACTAAATATTGCTGGTTTATTACACTTGCAAACTAAAGATGTTGTTAAGAACACCTGCTGGTGGGCAGACAGCCATAGAAAATCTAATGGAACAGCTGAATATTTCGAAATATTCTAACAGCAACAACTGAAAGAAATTAGAACTGTAAAATGCATTAAGATTACTTAAAATAAAGCTATTTGTTAAAGCGTGATTTAATTTGTTTAGGGTGTTTTATACAGTTCAATGTCTGTTTTCCCACCTCCACACAAGACTTCTGCTATTTTCCCTGTAGCCTACCTTCTGGTGAGGAGTTGCTATGTGACTGAGAGCACAGAACATTTCTTTAAAATGTCTAAAACATGAGGCCAAAGCCATGACTCCACCACAAGGACTGACACAGCGCTTTTCTTCAGAGGGGGAAAAAAAAGTCGCTTTGCCTGTGAAACAGAGACCAAACATTCCAAGCACATTTAACTATGCACAATGTGCCCCAGTACATTCCATTCCCTGTATGTTCCTTGCAGCAGGTTTGCTGTCTGCACTTCAGGAAGAGCTCTGGGTTGGCACTACGGGTGTGTCACGGTTGGTGTGTTCAACACAACCACCCAGGCTCCCAATGCTGCATCTGCTTTGTGTTCCAGCTGGGATGAGGTCACACCAGCAAATGCCAGCAGCTGAGATGGGCTGATTCCATCACAACCTGCAGGACTCTTCAACAGGCTTTCCCTTTCCTGGGGAGTGGGGAGGGAAGGGAACACGAGAGGAAGGGGAGATTTCTACAGAAGTGTTTGACAGAGACATCAGTGTGTTCATAAGCAGAGTTACACAGAATTTTACCATACCTTCCTGCTGATTGCTGTGGTAACAACGTTTTCCAAGTGTGCATGAGAGAAATCCTGGATCTCAAGTACTGTCTAGGTGAAGGTTAACATTTTCTATTCTGCTTTAAAACCAATCACTCTTCAAAAAGTAACTGGACAAGTTACTATAAATAGCAGTGTACTGCAAAAAAAATAAGCACTGTATTGCTTACGCAGCAAGTCCATTTAAAATTCACTCCAGTAATTTAAAAAAATTAAAAAAATATCAACTTACTATAAACAATTTAAAATATGTATAATACAACTTTGTATGCTCTTCATAACATCATGAATATTCTATGTAAACAATAGATTCTGAAGAATTTCCTTCGCTCACATTGGTTTCAGTGCATTGGTTCTGTCCACCTCTTACTCGTTATTTTTTTTTTGTTTTGAGGGAGCTGCAATCTGCTGTCCCACGTCAAAGAACTGATTTTTGTTTAGAACCTTCCTTTCTACACGTGGATCTGCAGAAAGGACAAGGGACAGGGCGGTAACAGGTGGCCCTTTTTCCTCTCTGTCCATCTCCACAACCGCAGGCGGGCCCGACTTCCCGAGGCCTCCGGCGCATTCTCTGACACTGAAGATTGAGATGTTCCTTGGGACTGAAGTGGTTATTTTACACAGGTACACAGGGCAGAGAGATCACCTCTTTGGGCAGGAGCATCTAAAGGTAGGGCTCTCCAAAGATCTTCCTGCATTCCATCACGCCGGTGCTGGGGGGTCTGTCGCAGTTGTGGGTGTTCTTCACCTGGCTGGCGGTGAGTCGGTCGTAGGCCATTTTGTACTCTCTGTCAAAAGCATCTGCAGGGAGGGGAAAAAACAACTCCTAGTGCTCAAAAACACCACCCAAATGCCCTGATAGCTGCATTTATCAGCACACACATACACAAAAAAGCCCTTTTTATTTGGCACTTACCACAGAGTAGCACATGTCTAAATCTCTGGGTTGTTTTTTTTTTTTTTTTTTGGAAGCTGAACAACTACACTCATCATCTGTGCTCATTTAATAATTGACAGAACTCACCTATATCAATGTTATCTCTTCCCAGGGCAACAAGTGAAAGAAACAGTATTTCTCTGTAAAGGCTCCTGAAATGGTAAAAAAACCAAAAGTTGATTTATATACTGCAACGATATAAGGCAAAACAACCTATATTAAAAATAGATTGAAGCACTTAAAAATAAGTTATTTTTTAAAAGAGGCATTTTGAACCTAATTCCTGGTTGCCACCTCCAAAATGTTGTCATTTCTGACCTCTGGGGAATGCCCTGGATTCCCCACAATATGGAAATCACTCATGGGAGGTCCTTCAGGCATCCACTGATGTGCTGGGAGTTGTACCAAGTGCATGCAGAGAGAAAACAAGCACTTCAGACACTCAACCAAATTCCAAAAGGTGAGGAATTTGCTCTTCTGCATTTCTGTATTAGCTTGAAAAAGCAGGTAGACAAGCAAATAAACACCCTGTCAATGCAGCAGCTGTTGACAAGACTGTTCTAAATCCCAGTACAAATCAGTAAATCCAGGGAACAGAAACTCACAGGAAATAATTTTCAATAATTTTACTGCTAATGGAAAAACCTTCCTAAATATGAAGCTTAATCTCTCTTAGCTCTTCTGTTCTCTACTGAAGACATAAAAAGCCAAATCTACCCTTAGACCCTAGAAACAAGCCTAGAGTTTTTATTTAAAAACCCCCACTAACATATAAATAACACTTATCAATAAAATATACACACATACACACTCCCTACTTGATTTCATTCAGAGGTAAGATAAAGAAGTGGCTGTGAAGGGGAGAGGAAAAGGCAACAACATTTTATTAAAAAAAAAAAAAAAAATTGGAGAAACTCAGTTTGTGAAAGTTATCACAAAAAAAGATTATTTCCCAGACTGGGTGATAAATTTGAGAACGCTGATGAAAAACTGCCTTTTTTTTTTTTAAAAAAACAACACTAAGAAAATGCAATTCACATCACAACAGCCTCAGTACTACTCTCACCTTTGCCTTTTAATATGTGGCCACTTGTTCAGCCTCTCCAGTATCTGGCTCATGGGGCCGTACACGTCGTTCATCTTGATGCTCTTCACCATGCTCCTCAAGAGCTCCTGGTTGAAGGAGTCGTCATCCTTCTGCAACAGCTGCACCATTGGGTACTTCTGGGCTGAAAAACATTAGGAATGCTGTAAGAATAAATATGTTCTTTATGGAGGGAGTAGAAAGTTGTTTTAAAAAAAAAAATAAAAATAGGTGGGAGGCTACAGAAGCTGTGAAAACGTCGACAGGTATGTAGGGAACAGAAACGTGAAATCCAAAAGAATATCAGGATAAAACACAGAAAGCACACAAGGAAACTCAACAGTTGCAATGGGTCATGAGCTGTTTTCAGGCAGATGATCCAACACTGGCAACAGAATTCTTAGTAAGCAAATTCTAAAAATAAAGGCAATGAGCTAAGTGGATGAACCGCACTGCTGAAATGGATTCCCTCTTATTCCTCCCTTCCCAATGAAGAAAAAGCCACTGGCAACACAGGTCAATGATTTGAAACGGAAATGCTGGAAAACTCGAACTGTTGGAGCAGTTTACTGCCCAACACAGAACCACCCTCCCTCCCAAAACAAGTCCCACGAGCTGAGAAGAGCAACACCAAACTGAACACTCACTCTCAAACAAAAGAGTGCGGTTTTGACCTGCAAGACAAAAAGCAGTATGATCAAAAAACCAGTACTGTAGCGTGGGTGAACCATCCACAAAGACATCTCTTCTCAACACACAGAGTTCAGTTGCTCAAAATGAAAACTGTTCTTTAAAAAAAAAAAAAAAGAAAGAAAGAAAATCCACAAGAACAGAACTTACTCTGAGCGTTCCACAAAATATACAGAGGCTGCCTCGGATCCTGATGCAGCTTCATATTGTCCCAGAGCATCTGGATAAGAACGTATTTGCTGTCCTCTGACATGCAGTTCCGTGGAATCTGAACAGGAGAATGCACACAAAGGTATTTCATTACAAAGTCTCTGTATTTAACATGTTCCTTCACATCTACAGGCCTCATGGTCACAAGCTTTGCTATTAAAATCAGAGAAAGCTAAATCTGAACGGGATTGTCAATCACACAGTATTTTGTGTATCTTCCTACAGCCCTAAAATCTAAACTTCCTCCTCTTTCTACTGCTTAATTACTCAAACAGCAGTAAAATTAACTAGAAACTTATCCTCTTCGGAGCTGAGGATCACAAATCACAGTTTGACCAGTAGGAGTTAAGCATGTACTGCTGAGTCCAAGTTCCAGAGTTCCACATATTTTTCCTTCAGTTCACAAACAATTCACCAATTCAGGACTGGGCCCAGCATATTGCAGGACATTTCTAAGAGCTCCTGGGTTTCCTGCTGATTTCCTCTATGGGAAAATAAGCATTTCTCATATGCCAATGTTTCCATACCTTGGAGTTCTTGTTACAATGCTCAGAAGAAAGGATTAATCCTGGTAAGTTGCTGGGCAAGTCCAAGCGCCTGAAATACCAGACCAAGTTCCAGAACACAATGGGATGATGATCTACAAAGTCTGCCACTGTTATGGCATGATCCCCTTCATTTTCAAGTAAGCTTTCAAGCTCTTTCCAGACCACCAGAGGACTGAGGTAAGGAACTGTTATAGGATCAGGACTAGGCAAGCGCCATTCCAGGCCCAAGGAATCCTGGAATGAAAAAGAAAAAAATACCTTGTAATGTAACTGTCTTTGCAAAGTCTTATAAGTGCTTTTGTTCCCTATGAGACACATCAGCATCTAATAACTACAGCTAACATTGGTTTCAACAACACAACCTAGAATTTCCTGTAATTTAGGAGGGTTAATTCTGCTCTGTTTCACATTTCTCTAATCTACGGTACACATGTGAAAAAAATGACTTTTAAGGTAGAAAAACTACACACTGTTGGTCCTTGCAAAGTAGCAGGCAGGCTACCAGTAGGAATGATATGGCTGATCTTCTGGTTTTCCTTCCCATCTTCTTCCAAGGGACCAAAAGTACTGATGCTCCTTGCCACAGGGTGACTTGGACATTCTGAACCAGAGGTATTTTGTCTTCTTCCTGAGGGGATCTGGATACTTCTGGCACAAACATTGTCATGCTGCTTAGATTTGCTAGTGGAGAGGAAAAAAAGTAAATAATCTCAGCTTTGTGTTTTACTCCGAGTGCTCAAACATGTACACAAACAGACAGAAATAAACTGGAAATAATTGACTTGACACTTGGAATTCTGCCTTGTCAGCCACCACACTCATTCATGTTGCAGTGCAAGTTTTATTCCTTGCACTGAAGATGAACACAAACATCCTCAAAGGAGTTCACAAAACTTGCAGAATTACAAATGCCAACACAAATTTTTATTTTAGGGATGAAATGGCAGAGAAAGCTTGATGTGGCCAACTGAGACAAAGGGAGAGGCTGCAAAGAGATCAATCTCTCCTTTTCAAAGAGTGTCTTATTAAATTCGTTTCAGTGCATAAGGAGCACATGCATATCCCACAGAGAACCTGAGTGATTTCTATGCAGGAAATGCACATTTACCTGTTTGAGTTGATGTCCTCCTGAACAGACATCAGAGACGTAGTGAGGCCAACAGAGGCTGTGGTGTTACAGGGCTTCCCACTCTGACTGGAAAAAAGGGATGGGACCTGCATGTTTTCTGTAGAAGGGCTGGACTTCAGGAAATACCTGCAGGGAAAGAAAAAGCTTAATTTGATCAAAAAAAACCCCAACCAACCAAAAACAACAACCCAAAAATCCCAACAAAAACCTCTTCCCAGTATTGAGGGACAAAACCAAGGACAGTTCAGACACTGCTCTTACCGCCCCGGCCGCCGAAGGTCTCGGATTTCGATGCTCAGGAAAGGCAGGAATAAGTTGCCACAGAAGGGACAGGTGGTGTTGAGGTTGGAATCATCTGCTGTCCAGCCTGCCATGATTTCCTCATCGTGAACCAAACAGTCACAGGTGCGACAGCGTGAGCAGCTGGAGATGAGGACCTGCCCACACAGCAACAGAACCCACTGAACAAAAATGCTCCTCTTTCAAACTGCAGCCAAAATCTCTGCCCTCTGCTGAACACCCCCCCTCACACCACTTGCACACAAGTTCATCCTTTTATGGCTTGTCAGATTAAAACAAGTTATTAAATAATATTTTAACAATAACGTGTCATTTGTAATCTGCTTGCAAACGCAACAGTTCAGGGATATTTACACAGCTACATAAATTGTTATTAGAATCTAAACACTCTTCTGTAGTGACTGTCATTGTTATACAAATGAGGGGGGAAAAGGATGCTAATGACCAGTCATTATTCTAAATCCAGTGAGAAACAAAAGAAAAAGAGAGAGAAGAAAAAGCCAAGCAAAAGCAGCTTAACAGTGAAAAGAAAAATGATTTTACTAGAAGATACAACAAGAAATAGCTAGTTCTCCTCTGTATTTTTAAACACAGTGCTATTGAAGGCTTGGTATTTTCACTTCAAACAAATTTATCTCCACAAGGGATTTAGATGCCTGAATTCAGTGGCATCCAATTCTCAAACTCTTGAGAACTGAGGCTTTAAGGACCAAAAGATGTGACTGCAATAAAGACCTTTCTAGAGTAGGATTTGAAATCAAATCTACTCTATCACAGAAATACTCATCTATCTTTCAGTGGCTCAGTTTGAAGCTTTGAGCTTTAACAGAGATTCAGGTAACATTTATATTTAAAGACACGTGCTTCTAGTGTAACAATTAAAATCAATAAACCATCCTGTACCTCCATGGCGTAGTTCTGGAACACGCTGGTACTGCTTGTACTGCAAGAAGATATCAACTCTGATTTGTCAGGTAAAGGGAACTTGGAAAGAGAGCCTGCTAACAGAAGAGACCCAAAGTATTGGTTATTTCAGAAAATGCAATTTTAGCAACTTGTTTTTCTGCCCAAACAATGCAGCAGTTCTAAAGTGTGTGATGGAAGACAACAAACTCGATTTACTCATGAGCCTCGCAGAGTGTGGGGCCGCCATCTGCCCAGCACCAACCCAGGCAAAAATAAAAGCTACCAACACACAACTTCCATATGTTCAGCTTTCTCTGATAACAACAGTTGGTGGCTTGGTAACAAGTTGTAAGTAATTCATAGCCACACTTTCTGTGGGGACAAAAACTAGGGAAGGGTAAGAGGTGCTGTCTGTGAGGTGCAGACATCCCGGATCCTTCTCTTTGGCACAGGGATGGAGCCAGGCTCCCCTCAGCCCCCAATCCCTCATCTCCCACAAACTGGGAAGCCAAATCCAAGCATGCTCTTCTAAGTGCAAAGTGGAGGGATCTCAGCATACAGATCTCCCTCTCACCCCACTGTACCCCACATAAACACATTGCACCCCATAATGAGAGCAGCACACAAACTGATCCCACGGTCACGACCAATTATCCAGCACAGGTCAGGGAAAACAATCTACACAGTCTGTCTGAGAAACAGCTTCAAAGGGCTCCTATTTGCATAGATGCAGCATCCAGAAACAGGATTTGTGCAAGTTATTCCAGAAGAAAACCCAAACCAAGGTTCTACAGTAAGAAAATCCATAAATATGGACATATCTGCATGAGTATAGTTTGCAGGTAGGAAAAGGAAAAATTCACTCTTTGCACAGAAAGGACTCATCACTGGGATGATCCCAAACTCTGAGTTATGGAAGAGCAACTTCTAAAACTGGAGTATTTTTGTTTTGTCACAGATTGATGAATGCAAGGCACTCCTCTTACCACACTGGTCAAATTGTTTAGCTGAGCCATCGTGGGAAGCTGAGCTTTCCAGGCTTGTCCTGCTGAGGCCAATTCCCTTAATTTCTGAGGTGGCATTCTCCTGAGGGGAAGCACTTTCAAAATCATTGCAGACATCTTCATCAGTGAGAGAAGTAGATTCTGAGTCCAGAGCTCCAAGAGATGAAACACTTGCTCGGTCTGAATTTTGATCCTGAGAGAAGAAAACAGAATTCCACTGAGAAAACGAAAGGAAAGCAAAAATATTCCTGAAAAAAAAAAAAAAAAAAAAGGGGGTAGCCCTCTTTGTCTCAGTACATTCAAGGCATGAACCTCCCTCCCTGAAAAATCCCAGATCTGCGTTCAGGACTGATGGCAGACAAGGCAAGTTTCGCTCTGGGTTAAACAGCAACACGAGAGTTTTTTTTCAAGATTCTCATAATAAGTGGAAATATAATAATTTTAATCCTGTAATTTTTTCCCATCGTTGCCACAGAAGTTATCAGCAGCTGCAGGAACACATTAGGATGGGCAAGGCAACTGTGCCCCTTTTCATTCCCAAGGACTGGCAACAAAACAAGCTTTGGGTTGAATTGGTAGCAACAAAGAACATTCTGACAAATGACCTCAGATCAAAACTAGACTTAAATCTCTTTGGCAATCAATCCAAGCACATTTTCCTCTTCTAAAAAAAGCAATAAGAACTTAAACCCAGTACTGTTTATTTAAGTGGGCTTGCTTTAGGTTAAGAAGGAGAAACAGAGCAGTCTTCATTCTGTCAGCACATTAATGTAGATTTATGTTTTCTCATTATAAATACACTCAAAACCCAGGGTGGACTAAACTTTTATTCAGGACAATAAAATTAGGGTCCTGGTAAATGAAAGTGGTTAAAACAACTCAGTGTACATAGTTTATAAAGAGACATGTCATCCAAGTGGGGGGTTTATCAGGTAAGAGTCAGTGATTTGAGCTTTACAAAGTTTTTTTCCTTAATTTACAGGAACTTACGTCGCAAACATTTACCTTTGAGGATGCAGCATACATTGCAAATTTGGAGTACCACTTGCTTGCTTTCTCTGCAACCCCTTTTCCAGCAGAAAACATGCTGCTTTTTAGGACATCAAACTTGGGTGTTAACAGAGTGTCCAAGTTGAAGGAGGGCGATGACACCAGTGTTAATGCACTGGTTGTGTCCTGGGGCTGCTCCCTGGCTGGACTGTGTGGGGAATAAGCTGGGGAGGACCAAAGCCTGTCCCTTGGCCTTTCTTCATTTTTTGCCTGGTAACTCTTGGATTTGGTAAGACTGGGAGGCCTTGGGGAGTTTGGGGGAAGGCTGGACCTCCTACAGGGCTGGATAATTGTGGGGCTCTTCTTATTTGCATTTCTGTCATCGCAGGGTTTCTGCAGCTCGATGCTCGGGGCACGACTGGACAGAGGGCTGCTCATGTTGTTCATGTACATCACGATCTCCTCAGCCAAATCTCTCCTTGCAGAGGGAGTGGAAACACCTCTATCATCCTCCTCCTCCTCCTCCTCTTTCTGCTGTTCTGTCTCAGCAACCAGCAGAGACAGTGGGTCAAAGCCAGTTTCAACATCTGTCTTTTCAATTGGTTTTACTGGGAAGCTGCTCTTCCTCTGCAGCCTGCTGGATTTCTCACTGGAGGATTTCACTGCAGGTGCTGTGGGTGTTTCTGGCTCTGCATCCAGGTCTTCCAGATCAAAGATAACAGGAGACTCTGTTTTATCTGTGAAACTGCAATCAAAAGCCGCATCTTCGTCACTGGATTCTTTCTCCAGGCTTTCTCTCTTAGATCCTAAAGAAGAACTTCTGATATTTAGAGTTTTGGGCCTTATGCTTTTCTGTAATGCACTGGACAGGATTTTGGCATCAGCTCCCAGTTTTTCGACCATTTCTCCAGGGTTTGCTTCCTGATTGATTCTGTTCATCATGAGTCCCACCAGGCCATCCCCACTCAGGGTCCTGCTCCTGCTTTCCCACGGGATCTCCCTCAAATCAGGCTCTACTGCACTTTTATGTCTCTTCCTTAAGGATTTACTTTTTATAACTTCTGCTTCACTGGCATCCTCAAAAGATGATGTAAACAGCAATCCCATAGAACCCTCTGAAAAACAGATGAAACAAGGTGCTCTGTTTGTTGTTATACAAGAAAACTAACAAAAGTACAAAGGAATGCAAATCTGTCTCATCTTTCAAACATTTTCTAAACACAGAGATGGAATTCACTATGTGTTTATTGTGTTAGGGGTTGAAATGCTGAGCTGACCATGGTCACAGCTTTCAGGAAGGGACAGAGACAATAAAACATTTAGGAGTAAATAAAGCACACAAGCCAAGGGTAATCTGAGAGACACCATCAAGAAGATTTGTGGAAACGCCTCCAAGTTTCTTTTAATTGCATAGAAACCTCTTTTCCATGCTGAAGGAATTTATTAGTTGCTGGAGGTTTTAAGAGAACAACAAGATTTTGGGATTTTTTAAAGCAGATGTTAACTACAGTAAAAAAAAAAACCAGAGCAAACCAGAAATAAATCTGGAAATGAAGAATATTCAGACACATCTTCCCGACACAACATATGGTGACTGGAACAAGCTCCCTCCCCCAGGTTCCACCAGCCACTGCTACCACACCAATAAAACACTGCACATTTAGGGGACAACACAGCTCAGTCTCACCACTCAGAGCTCTTTAGAAGTTAAATATAAACACAAAACTGCCCACAAGAACCCAGATATTTCCCCTCCACTCACCCCTGCTCCCCTCTGCCCTGGGATTGTCGACGGTGCCGTTGAGCCGCACGATGCTGGACGTGGCTTTGTCCTGGCTGGAGCTGTGGTAGTTCAGCCTGGGCAGGCAGTCACCACTGCCCTTTGTGCTCTCCACCTCAGACACTGCACACAGGAGAGAACAGTCCTGGGCAACCAAACCCACTGCTCCTCAATGCCAGGTTCCCATCACCCACCAGGATGAGGAGGCAGCAACGCTGCACCATCCCGGGATGCGCCGGCTGATCCTGCTGGGCAGAGGTTTTCACCTCTGCTATTTAGATATTAAATTCCCAGCATGACTTTTGTAACTGGAAGTTCCATTTGCTCCTCTACACAGAGCCCAAAAATCACACCTTTTTGTTGTGGAGATTAAGACCACCCTCATTCACCTCATCACCTCCTCATATGACCATGCAAGACAAATAAAACAAATGTATTTACATTTACCTCTTTTAGACAGGAAAGACAAAATTCTTTTGCTGGTGACTCTCCAAAAGAGAGAATCACTTCCCTAAAACATTTCAAGCAACTTAAATATTACCAAGTTGTATCCAAAAGTGCAGAACATTTCCAGCACATCATATTACTATAAAGAGCCATGAACATCCTAATTTTGGCTAAAAGTAATACAAATTTAATCAGAATTCCCACTTCCTGTGCCCTCAGGAGTTTTATTAAACCTAAATAACTTGTTTGTAATCTTACATGTATGTTATCGTGATCACAGGTAAGACAACTTTTCAAGCAAACTGAAATAACTTTACTAATTCCATATTTTCCTCCTCCCTTTGCACCACTTGACAATGGGATGGTTAACTCAAGTAGCAGGGCAAAGCACACTAGAAAATTTAAGCTGTTATATTACTAAGGAAACATTTATTAAGAAGAGTATTTTCAATGAATAGATATGGGAATCTGCAGTACTTACAGATTTTTACCCCCAAAGCTGTTATATGCTTGCATAAAATTGATGCTGCTCAACTGCAGTTAAGGGGATCAGGAGCAGCAGATGTAAAACCTGAAGAAAAGAACCCTTTTCTCATTTCTGATGCATCTCCTGAATTTTGAGCATTCCAAGGAGCTGGGTAATTTAGATCCCTCAGACTTTCAAAAACTCAGCTGTTCTCCTCTTATGGGATTTATAAAGAAAACAGAGTGACAGAAAAGGCTTTTCTGTAGATCATTCCTCTAAAGCAATTTAATTTTTTTAAAAGACAAAACCATTAGGCTATAATTATCATTAGGCCTTTCTGTGGCCATTATCACTTATTTCAAACAGAGGGGAGAAAAAAAAAAAAAGAGATGTAATTTTCAAAGTGAAACCATCAGACATCCAGAAAAATCACATTTAGAGAAAGAACTTAAGGCAGGGCATAAATGGGCATTATCACACACACTCAGTGTAGAAAATCAGCTGTCCCACTTAGCTCTTGCTGAAATCCCTATTTATCCCAAGTGAACCAGATATCTGCATTCACAAGATACATACAAGAACTGGAGTCACTCTCTCTCTTGTCCTCCTTTTGTTCTTGGATGTCTTGAAGACAAGTTTTGCCTTGCTTGGCTTCTTCTCTGGATGATGTGTTATTGCCAGTGTCTGAAAGTCCCCCTATCACAGCAGGGTGATGGCAGAATAAAGACAATTATGCTATTTAATACTGTGACATTGTTAAACAGAATAAATTGAATATCCACAGCAATCCAAAGGCCTCTTATCAAGTACATTCTAATTAACAGTGAACATTTCACCACACACACAAAAAAAGATAAAAAGGACAGGCTTACTTTCACAGTATAAACATTGAAGTGATGCTTTACAGGATGAAATTAAAGGGTAATTGGCAACATTTCTGATTAAATACTGAACTAAAGCACTGCTTGGCTTTGATTCTGTTGCCTGGTTTATTTGGTCAAAATGTCACATCTTTTCGAGAACTCTGAGAGGCATCTGAACATTGTTTGATTTTAGCATAGTTAATGCATTTAATTCTCATGGGTTCATTCTAGAAAGCAAAAAAAACCCACAAAACTGAAACAATGCTGAGCAACCACAAGCTTGTGTGGAAAACAAGATTAAAATAAAACCAGCATCACCCAAAAATAACCCCTGCAATTATTCAAGACACTTATGGGGTCATTCTCAAGGCAAAACACTGCCCCAGGTATGACCAAGATAGTCTGAGTGGCTTCTCCCCTTCATTTCCCTACAGATGCTGCTGTGAATCTCTGCAGAGAGGGTAAAAACCTTGGTGCTGTTTGTAAGGATAGCAAAATATTCTGGAATTTAAGGAGCAGTTTTTGGGCTCGCCTGAGGAGTCAGCACACATTCTACCTATGTGCTTTCAGGCAAAGTAATCTCGAAAAAAACCAGGTGATGTCAAAAGCAAACAGTATTAATTACATAAGTGGAAGTTTACCCAGGCAAGGACTAATTACACTTCCTTGTTTTACGTGGTCTGAGTTGCAACCAGCACTGCTAAGCTCTTGCATGGCTGGGTGTCAAAAAAGTGGTTTATGAGGAAGGTCACCCTCACAAAGAACAGGCAGAAATAAAGCAAATCTGCTCAAGGTCATCCAGAAGGTTAATGATGGAGCCAGAAGTAGGACTGAAGTCTCTGGGGTCTAAGAGAAATAATCTTGCCATAAGGCCATCATATCTGTTCTGTTTGCCAGGGCAAAGATTTATCTGCACACATTGGGAATCACTGAGGGACTTTGAAAGATGAATCAGATGATTTTTATCCATTTCTGTGTGGATGCTGTAAAGGCCTTCCAAGGTCAACCACAACTAAACTATATTGCTGGTAGTTTACAAGGCATTATCTTGCTTTACTGGCAGTAAGTTATAAATAAACACCATGGAAAGCAGCACCTATGGAAGAGATAAAATAGAGGCATGGCCACAGAACCATCTGATGTTCACATCATGTAAATCTTTACTGGAAGGAAAAGGAAAGCCTCGGATGCTGTACTGCATTATATCCCAGATAAAAATAAAAATTATCACTGCAGTCGGTACACAGAACCTGCAAACAGTACTGCAAACTCAAGGACTAGTTCTAGTAGCCTCTTAACTTACATCAAAAAAAAAAAGGGAAAAACAAACAAACAAAAAAACAAAGCAAGGCTGGACAGAAGCTTCTGCCAGTTTTGAGAGTGGTTATTGTAGGAATTTGGATAATTATCACCAATTTCATGTTCATATTGTCTCCTGAACAGCTGACACAATAAATAAATAGGAGCCTTTCAGATTCAAAGACAAAAAGAAGCAACTTTCCCAACAATTATGCAGGAATTGCTGTTTTTTCTCTAAATCAGCTTTATCAAACTCACAACCGAAAGATTTTTGGAATAACTTTCTCATCAGCACGGAAATAAAAAAAAAAGAGAAGGGTGTGAATACTCTACCAGGATGTGTATGTGCAGTGCTGGCTGGCAGCTTTTTCAATGCTTTTTTAAATTGTGCTATTCCTAAGACAACGTTCCGGATTTTCATCCACAGGAAGTAGCCCCCTCGATTGCTGGAAGGCCAGGTGCTCTCCAGAACAGCCTAGTTTGGAAACATCAAAGCCAGATAAACTCATTAACCTAAATTTCAAACTGAGTTACAGTTCTACAGTAGATTCCTAAGCCCACAAAGACCACACAATTAACCTGTCGTGTCTTTCTCCCCATTACTACAAATGACAGGATGACACCTGAACCGCTCGCTTTTATTTTGCCTGGATAAACCCACCCATTCCACCCCCCCCCCCCATCCTGTTCCAAAAACCTCTCACCTTATTGTAGTAGCCGTAAGTGATGGCATTGGGGTCAATGCCAGCCTTCTGCATCTCAAAGAGCACCCTGACAGCCAGCACAGGCTGCCCATACTGCCCGCAGAGCTGCATGAGGACCCGGTAGCACACCTGGAAAGACAGCGAGTCAAGCGCGTGTTCCCATCAGCAAAACCCCCGGGGCTCCCCCTCTGGGATTTGGGGGGGGCTTGACTCGATTTACCTCATCAGGTGGGTCTATTTTTTTGGTGTGCATTTTCTGCAGCACATCATAGGCAGTTCTCAGAGCCCTGACTTTGGAGTGGCAGACTTTGACGTAGGCAGGCAGGCAGATGAACCAAAGGCCGTAGCAGTGACGCAGCAAACACCTGGACCACATCTGGGGGATGGACGAGTACTTCTTGGCAATCTTGTGTGCAGATTTGATTTCCTGGAAAGAAACAACAGATTATTTGTCTTTGTTTCTATATCCGTGACACAAACTTACATGTTGAAAACTGAACATGTAGCATTTATTATACCTAAAGAAAATGCAATATTAATATAAACAAAGCAGTCAAAGCAAGAAAAGAATGGAAGCAGAGCGAGTGATAACACAACAGTTGCTGTGCGATATTCCAGTGCTAAAATCTTGCATTTCTTTACATTTCTGGCCATTGCTTTGAAATTTAGAGCCCTTTTTCAAGCCCTGGAAAGTGAAAGGAAGTAGATGTGGAAGCCCTACAGTTGGCAAGTGGCCTGTGGGATACGGTGCAGACAAGAGGCACAGTTAAACATCCAAAGAACAATCAGCACAGTGACCCTGCTGCAGTCACTGAATCAGTGAAGAACGAGTCAGGATTTACAGCCACACTCAACCTGGCCCTTCCCAAAGCACCTCATGCTCCAAGAATACCTGTTTAGTTCTCCTGAACATTGGAGAGGGGCTGTTGGGGCTGCTGGCTTTTGAGGACAGTTTGTTATTGGGTGCTGTGAGAAACCCTTCAGGTCGTTCAAACAGCTCTAGTTTCAGGACTGGAAACCCATTATAGCTGTAAAAGAAATACAACACTTCAGACCTGTAAGTCAACCCCAAAGCAAACATGTCATATAATAGCAAAGGAAATCAATCACAGTTGCACCAGAAGCTTCACAGGAATTAGAAAACACTAAAGTAAACCTTTAAAGACATTGTTGACAAAGTGGTTTACTAATCCCTCTGCATGATTTCATATGCCTGCACAAACAGCCTCTTAACCTGCTGTTCAGCATAAGCGACTTAAATTGATAAATACATTTGCTGTCATAGTATTTTCTTTAATTAATGTGTCAAATGCATTAGTATTGATTCTAGTTAAGAAAAGAAAATAATCTGTGTGGCTTAGTCCCTAGTGAGCATCACATGACAGAGGCTTATAAAAATCAATATGAACAACAATACCAAACTATCTAAAATATTAAGTAAGATCAGATATGAGGACATTTCTCAGAATTAATAAGGAAACTAACAGCCAAAGCCATTTGACACAATTACTGAATTAGTAACACCAATTTTAAGTGATTCTGTATCTGCAGGTTGTATCACCATCAACAGCAGCAGCAGCCCCACAGACTGGGTCCAACTATTTCAGTTTTAAGCTTAAGAGGCGTCACCAGCCAGCACCACGTACTGTGGTCACACAGCCAGCTTTATCATCGCTGCTTCCACGTGCACACACCCAAAATCACAACTCCAAAAGAGCCTGCACACCAGGCATCTTACAAACACGTTTCTACCTGAGCAACACAAAGGGATGGGGAAAATTGTCACAAAAAACGAGGAACAACACTCTCCCAAGGGCAGCTGTCGGGACTTTGGGCAGCACCCTGCTGTGAGCCGAGCTCACCTGTACTGCAGAGGGTGCTCCTCCCCGTTGGGCAGGGGGGGGATCTCTGGGGGGGTGATGAACACCGTGTGCTCGCTCTTGTAGGACTCGTCCAGCTCAATCAGCCGCGTCTCCCCACTCCTGTCCGCGTCCACCTGCGGGAGGGACCCAAAACCCAAGGTTATGGTGCATCTGAACTGACTGTTATCAGCAATTCTCCCGAATAAACTTCTAGAACTGTGTTTCCAACTGCAGCAGTAACATCAAATCTATTTTCAAGAGCTATTTTCTAGCCTGTTTTCACCACTGAGAACAACACCAAGCCTTACCCGACTGTCTGATGTGCACAATCTACACACACCACCATGCAGCCAATTGCAGGCACTTACAGAGTCATTAATGTCCTGATTACTTGCAGACACTGCACAAATACACATGCTTTCGAAGAGATAAGGGAATAAAAACCTGTGACCTTACTAAAATTAAAGGGGGATGGATGTAACTTTGGTTTTCTAATTTAAATGGCAACCAAATTACAGCCAAACGGTAAATTATTTCAAAGAAATGAAGAGGCAACCTGTGGAACCCAAGAATGTGTGTTTTTCACGCCTTAAGAGTTTGGCGACAGAGAATTAATGTACAAGAAGCAGCGTTTTCCACAGTTATCTCCTTCAGTGAGGTGCAAACAGATCAAGTAGTTTCAGTAAAATTCTTGAATATTTAAAGTTTGATAAACATACAAAGAGGTGTCCTTAATTACACATTTTGCTGCGTGAGACAGATGGAAAGTATTAACAAATTGAAGCAGCCAAGGAGGAAGAGCATATGGCTGCTGAGAAGCAGCAATAAACTAAACCTTGCCTGGCAATTTAAATACTTCTAAGGATGTAAAAACCCCAGAGCTAACAAGCCTCACCAGTGAAATATAATCCAGCCAGTAGCTTAAATATGGATGGAACTGAGATAATTTTTGAATTCCTGGGAAAATGAAAGCTTGTGAGACAATTACCCCGGCTCTTTCAGTCAGCAAAATGGGTAATCCATTACAATTACAATCTCTGCTGCTGCTGTCCAGGACCAAATAACATGGGGAACAGATTACTCTTCAGCTTCAACTATTCTTCCAAATTATCTGAGGCAGGGTTTAGATGATATTTCATAGATAACTCATTTCACAGTACATGAAATTTGTCTCAACCCAGTGGCCTGGAACTGCCCATGAGAAAAGTGTTGTATCACCTTCCAACCCATGACATCATTCCTTCATCCTCCCCTGCCAGGTCCTGGGTCACCCAGGGAAAGGCATTAATACATAAATAAACACTGACTTTATTGGAATAATTCAGTTTGGGTATCTGGTCCTGGCTAAAGCTCCTGGTGGTACTGGGAAGCAGAGTATCAGAAATAAGAGAAATTAAGAAGAAGCAGGAAAGAGAAGATGAGGCAAACGTATCATTGTTCAAAGAAATCCTCCAGGGGAACTCTCATATCAGGTTATGTGCAATCTCACAGTGCCAGCACCAACCTAAGCATCATTTTTTTTTTTGTTTTAGAAGAGCAGTTCGAATGCCCAGACAAGATAATTTCAGTGAATGCATCAAAGTCAGCACCCTCATGAACCATTCTGCAAAACAAAATGCAACAGGTAGAATTTGACACTTAAAAAGTCATTGCATTCTGTATAAAAATCCTATTTAACTCTGGCCAGAGAACTGAACTGCAGCACGATGGGAACCAAGCCCAGCTCAGTGGTTCAGTCACTGGGGTGTTTCTGTCTAAGAGACTTTGTGTTTTTTAAGCCCAAACTGGCACAGCAAAGCAAGCACTGCATGTTGGAGGGTTTCTAACCGAGCTATAGGATAAATGACTCCACATTACAGAAATGTTTGCAATTAATTCAATTTATAACGCATGAATTCCTGCAAGTCATGCTGCAGAACTGGAAAGCAGAGTTTTGAGAGCTACTCCCACTAAAATATTGAGAGTAACAGAAGTCTTGAAGAGCATTAAACAGCATTAGATTGTGCTTTTACATCTCCCTCCAACTTAAACTTTACTTCTTTCAGATTTCTTTTCAAAACAGCTCTTCTGCACTTCCACATCAAAGGTATCCACAAATATGAACTGTAGATAGCAGTTATCAGTCTTCAGTGTTAATTCCTGTGGAACAAACAGCAGGTGACCTACTTTCCAGGAAAGCCCAGATAACTGCACTCTGTTTAATCAGCAGTGCCCCAGAACAGTGGTACAGGTAGCCTGTGAGGTGCCAACTGGGTGTGGAATTTCTTGTAATATTCACTAAAACGGGGATATAAAATGATTGTGGGTTTCAGTTCAGCTCCTCTCCTTGCACTTCTCACCATGGGACAGTATTCCAGAAGCTTACATACATGTGAAAATCAGCACCTCTGATTTGTTCTCCTATTTTATTTACAGTCAGGAATTTGAGGCAGAAAATGAAACAAAGCCCGACACACGAGGATAACGGAAGGGTAGAGGGAGTAGAAGAAAGGAAGTAAAAGGAAAAATATAAACAGACTTGCACTTCAAACACATTCTGCTTGTAATGTAACCATCAGAAGTTCCCAGGACTCACTTTATCCACACAGTCATCGAAGAAGGCCAGGCTGGCGTCCTTGTCGCTGACAAAGGAACACTCCTCGATGAAGCGAATGAACATCTGCGTTTTGGTCATCAGGGTGTAAAACTTCTGATGGGAACGGTCCCGACTCTTGAGGAAACCTGTGAAGTAAATCACAAGCAAGTCAGAATGCCCAGAACAGAAGAGCTGACCAAAAAGCCAGCATAAATTCCACTCAGGAGCAATAACCTCTCTGCAATCTTTGCCACTCCATTTTGTCCGCACTTACATTTTCACCGTCATTTCTAACACCAACGCACAGATGTTTTTATTCTTTATGTAAGACAGAATCTAAAATGATAAATTAAATACACACAAATCAAATTTGTAGCCTCTCACCTTGCAGTTCAAAGAGAGAACTTGCATCTGTGGCTGTTTCCGAGGGCGCCTCCGTTATTGGCCTGAGATAGGACCTGTAACCTTTCAGGATTGAAGCCATGAAACACAGAAATGCTTCCTGGATCTCCAAATCCAACAGATGCAGCTTCTTCCCAGAATTAAAATCATAGTCATTCATTGCCAATTCCATTAATGCATCTTCTCTCGGTCGCTGTTGCACTGTGAGCAGAACAACATTATAATGGTTTCCTTCCCCCCCTCAACATTGGTAAAAAATATTATCTTACTAAATTCACTGATTACTGAGCCCCATTAATTTTACACTAGATTAAAATATGTGCCAATTCACTCATGATATGCAACAGTGGATTGTGCTTGACCTTATGTAACTGATGTAACAGCAAAGCAGGATATACTTATCTTGTAATTACTAGAGCAACAGAGCTTAAAAAAGCTCTCTAAGAAAACTGGTTGTAAAAACATGTGAAAATCTATACAACAACTGATTAAAGAAACATATTTTAGGCCAAATACATAGTTGGGATGTGTTACTTGGGTTTTTTCAACAGTGCCCTCCATCTCAAAGTGCTCCCAAAGAGCAGATAATGCACATTAAATACCTATATATACCCCGAAAAACAGCACCCAGACGCAAAGCGGAGCCATTAAAACACATCCCACTGCAAAATGCTGCAACAGAGAGAAAGCTTTCTTTAAAAAGCTCCAGAAAAATCCCTGTTCTTAAATTTAGGTACTTGTATGAAAATTTCAAAGCTGAGACTTCACTGCTACACTCAGAGTATGGGAACATTCCAGCAGTGTCCCGGCGAGGTGCAAGGATGGTTTCATCACTGTCTCTCCACGTTTACACAGAATTACAGTCAACCTTGCACTGAGAGCATGTTTAAGCTACTTACTCTGCAATAAGAATTTAAGATCACTACCACTCTATTTTCACACAGAGAACATAAGGTTTAAATTTTTTTTAGCAGAAAGGCCTCACAGTAAAATATATCAAAATCCTGAAGCAACAAGTAATTTTCATCAGCTGTCAGTTACACCCTTCCTTGTGCAGCACATCCCAACAGACTCCTGGGTCTGTACATTCTAATCAGGACACAACTGAATTCCAGTGGCCTCAGCAGCCAAGGGGGTGTCAAAAGCCTTTAAAAGGAGTGTTCCATTTTAATGAATTTCATTGACATCACCACTATCCATTTTTCTGCTTCTCACATCAAGGTTCAATATACCTTGCTCTGCAACATTTGAGGATTCTATCAACAACCAGGTTTTACCCAGAAATGCAGAGTAATTGTACCTTAAACGTTTATAAACATTGGGGGTTTAAATGCATTATTATCATCTTAAAATTTTAGGTAAAGCACTGTTAGCTTGAGTGTCAAAGTTATCTCAATTGTCGAGACCTGAGCAGACTTTGAAGCAAAAAAAAAAAGCCTTTATCAGGTTCAGGCCGTCTGTACTAAAAAAAAAAGAAGTTTAGTGCAACTGGTGACTTTAGAACATATTTAATTATTTATTTATCTCCTACTGTGGCACACACACATCCAACATAAACCTGACCATTGTACTTTCCTACTCACATTCTGCCAGTTGCTGATACAAAGTGTTTAAAGTGTTCATCAGGTTTTTACAAGGTTTCTTTGGTAGGATCTTCCATGCAATAGTTTTCTTGTCTCCGGTTCTGGAAAGGGAAAAAAAAAATCAAAGTATGAGCGTACACTGGAATGTGTTCAGAGGGATATTCCACCCCACCAGAGAAATGGGAGAATATACCAAATTTACTCCATTAAAACAGGACTGAAAACCAACTAACAAAGTCAAATTTGATTTACCATGTGGAGGTTGGATCAGAGCCACCCAACCAGTGTCCCATATTTCAGGATGATCATTACCCTGCCACACTCCAGCACTGAAATCAAGCCAGTTACAACTCACAAAAGATGGATTAATGGTATTAATCCCCTGTCATTGCATCAGAAACCCCCACTCGTGCCATGATCTGAGCTGTAATTACTCAAATTGCACGGAGAGAGTGACTGGAACACTTGAAGTAACCCAAAATTAATCTGATATGGTAACTGCCTTCTGTTTAGTGCATACAGATTTGGACTTAATCACATCATTATCATGATAAAAAAAATTCCAGTGTTCTTGGTCAAGAGAGAACCAGGAATTCTCATAGCCCTTTAAGTTACAAAGCTACAAAAAATGTTTAGAGCTTGGCACAGTAATGCTGAAAATCTGCTACCAAGAGGAGGATGGTGAGTTTGAGATGTTACACCAAGTATATACTGAATATATTCACACTACACTGGAACAACAGACTAATTCTGAAATGACAAGTCTAATTAATTCGTGGGTATTAGAATCTTGTCTTTTTTTTGTATCACCTCACTACAAGGTAATAATTTTTTGCTTTGAATATCATAACAATGGAATGTTTCCCAGTGGTTTTGACAGTGCACTACTGTCCCTTACCAGTAATTTAGATAGCAGATTAATTAGTGTTACAGGAAAATGCAGTACTCCTCACAGTTATGAGCAAGTGATATTATAATATTATTTCAGTTTGTTAATGATGGCATGATTTTAAGGCTTAATTAAGACTCTCTCACCCATGACAGTTGACATCTCTTAATTCTCAATGTGAAGTTCCTGTGTTTCATATGGAATATGATTTAATTGTTATAATTTTCCAGCAGATGCCCAGAAGAAGAGACGAGAACTTCAGCACTGAGAAAGCTGATCACGAGAAATGAAAATTCTCCTCCAGGGACAATCAAGTGAGACACAAGATGGTTAATCCAGGAAAAGTGCTAATGTGTGCAGTAAGAGTTTAATGTAATAAAATAAAAGGCCATGATCAGACCTCCCCTCTGCTGTGCTGAACAGCAGAGACCATCTCCAGCATGCTCATTTCAAGAGGGATGATACATTAGAAAGTTTAAAAGAAGAAACAACCTTCCAAAAGGCTACTTTTTGTCTTTGAAAACGGGAAGACAAACAGCTGATTATTAAGTACTTACTGAGAAATTGTGTTGGTGTCCAGGTCAACGCAGCTCACATCTGGAGGGGGGTCATAGAGGTCAAAGTATCTTGAATCAATTCCCACTATGAAGGGGCAGGGGGCACTTAACACATCTGCCAGTGCCAGGGGACAGAGAGGGATGTAGGGGCAGGGCCAGTGGAAGGGGAAGATCATCTTGGAAAACAGAGACAAGAGCACAGGTTAGACATCTGTGATTATTTAACGTGGCAGGTAATTCTTACTGAACATCCTGATGCAGATTATTAAATAAAAAATGCACTCATTTATCTAAAATTCATTGAGAAAAAGCTCTTCAGGAGAGCAGATTGCACAGCAGAGACTGCAAAGCGTTGCTTAGTGATGACAGGCAGGAAAATGATGTGCATTTCAAATTCCACAGGAGGTAATACAGTGCTAGTTGGGAAAATCAGGAACTCACATTAAGTGCACTGTGATGACCAAACTCAACACTTATTTACAATATTTACATACAAAGAACCAACAACTCTTTCAGGTTCAACTTTTCAAGTTCCTCCTTCTCTTCTGTCTCTGCAGGATATCATTAGCAACATTAATTTTTTTCTCTTCAGTGATCTTTTATTTTCAAGCAACCTTGAAGGCTCACAGCACTACTCCAAGTACCAGATTTTATCTCAAACTCTTTCTTTTTTCCATTTTTTCCATCTGCAGGTCCATGACTAAAAGGCAGCACTTACAGAGACTAATGCCTCTGTGACACTGGTGAGGACAGAAGGTCGCAGGGAGTGGATGAGGATTTTATGTTCTGTCACAGCAAACACGAGCAGAGTCACTGCATTCTCAGGTCCCAGGTTCTGCAGTAGTGTAGAAAACTTGCCTCCACTGTTACAGGAGATGAACACAGCACAAACACGCCGGTGAGTTACGAGGCACAAGAAAAAAGGAAACGTTCAGTTACAAAGTAAGTGTAAATCTGCAAATATTTCCTTTTAAAGAAGATTACTTGGTACACTTCACAGCTGAGTGAGGAATGGTCACTTCCCAAGAGTAACCAGAATTCCTTGAGACTCTTTAACCAGTGGGGACTATTTTCAGGACACATGAATGATGATTTTTCTCTTTGAGAGGCAATTTACAGGGAGACAACATGTCTCCCATTAATCATTCTCCTGCACTGTGACATGAAGGTTAGGACAGTCACAGAACTCCTGAATTCCCTTGCAATCCAAAAGCTGCGCTGCCTTGGGAGCCCAGGCATCAACTCCTAAAAAAGGGGATCTAACAATCTGTATTCTGCCTCAAGAGCCACTACAATTATTTGAACAAACTGTTAATGAAGAATGTATCCTTGTCAGGTGTAACCCGAATGGAAAACCACCAAAAGGAACACCACCTTCCAAAGGCTCCAGACAAGGTGAGCTCATTCACACAAGTGCAACCCAAAGTACCAAATCTCTTCCAAGACACAAATCAGAACACATCTCACAATCTACAGCAGATACTGCTACTTGCCTCAGTGGGAGGGGTGATGACACAGGTTGGCTGAGGATCAGGTTATCGTGTGGAGACAGCTGGAAAAAGATTTTAAAACACAGGTTTATTCTGAATTTTGGAAATATTTCTTGGAAATCACACAACTGTAAGAAAAGAACACTTAAAAATCATCTCAGTGAAGCTGAACCTTGCAGATGCCAGTTGTGCAGCACTGTAAGAAGTGCTGTGCAATGATGTGCACCGGGATCTTTCAGTAAGAACTGGGCAAAGCACAATCTTCCTTTCTTGGCCTGAAGATATTGCATTTTCACACAGAGGACTTTACACCAGCTAATGCTGCAGAAAACTGAATAAATTAACTGCTGACAAATGAAGCCCTGTGTGTTTTAAGGGCAGTGAGGACCCACTGTTCAGACACAGCTTTTTAGGGGTTGGGGGGGATTCATTCTGGATTTAGGGGAAAAGAGATGGATAAAAATTCATGCAGGGGAGAGACGGCAGCTCATAAAGTCGTATCTTTTTCAGAAGACATGAGAATTAGGCTCTTGACTGGTTAGAGGCTGCTCGGCTCTGACAGAACCTTTAAAATTTGCATTAGCTGAAGATCCAAGACAAAGATCCTGTGAATTCCCAGTTCTTTCTTACAGTGACATGACATCAAGCACAATCAGATATTCACATCTATATTCAGCGTGCCTGGGAAGACTCATCAGTACAACACCATTGACACGCAATCAGTTTATCAAAGTTCAGCTGATGTTTTCAGCCACAGGAAATC